CCTCCACCTCCCAGGTTCAAGCCATCCTCCCACCTCAGCTTCTCGAGTAGCTGAGACCACAGGAAAGTGTAACAGATTCCTGGGAAATAGGAACACCTGAAAGCTATAGATCAAGAGATCTGCTATTGGCAAAAGAGAGGAGGGAAATTAAAAAAAAAGGAAGACGAGTGTATTAGTTCGTTTTCACACTGCTGATAAAGACATACCAGAAACTGGAGAGAAAAAGAGGTTTAACTGGACTTACAGCTCCACATGGCTGGGGAAGCCTCAGAATCATGGTGGGAGCGGAAAGGCACGTCTTAAATGATGGCAGCAAGAGAAAAATAAGGAAGAAGCAGAAGTGGAAACCCCTGACAAACCCATCAGATCTCGTGAGACTCATTCACTATCACGAGAATAGCATGGGAAACTCCTGCCTCCCCGTAGTTCAATTACTTCCTGCTGAGTGGAATTTTTGGCGATGCAACACGTGGGAATTCTTGGAGATAAAATTCAAGTTGAGATTTGGATGGGGACACAGCCAAACCATATAATTCCACCCCTGGCTCCTTCAAATCTCACGTCTTCACTTTTCCAAACCAATCATGCCTTCCCAACTGTCACCCAAAGTCTTATCTCATTTCAGCATTAACCCAAAAGTCCACAGTCCAAAGTTTCACATGAGACAAGGCAAGTCCCTTCCACCTATGAGCCTGTAAAATCAAAAGCAAGCATTACTTCCTAGATACAAAGTGGGTACACGCATTGGGTAAATACAGCCATTCCAAATGGGAGGTATTGGCCAAAAAAAGGAGTTACAGGGACCATGCAAGTCCAAAATCCAGTGGGTCAAATTTTAAAGCTCCGAAATGATCTCCTTTGACTCCAGGTCTCACATCTAGGTTACGCTGATGCAAGAGGTGGGTTCCCATGGTCTTGGGGAGCTCTGCCTCTGTGGCTTTGCAGGATACAGCCTTCCTCCTGGCTTCTTTCACGGCTGGTGTTGAGCATCTGCAGCTTTTCCAGGTGCATGATGCAAGCTGTCAGTGGATCTACTATTCTGGGATCTGGAGGATCATGGCCCTCTTCTCACAGCTCCACTAGGAGATGCCCAAGTGGGGACTCAGTGTGGGGGCTCTGACCCCACATTTCCCTTCTGCACTGCCCTAGCAGAGGTTCTGCATGAGGGCCCCACCCTGCAGCTTTTGCCTGAGTGTCCAGGCATTTCCATACATCTTCTGAAATCTCAACGGAGGTTCCCAAACCTTAATTCTTGACTTCTGTGCACTCATAGGCTCAATACCATGTGGAAGCTGCCAAGGTTGGGGCTTCCACCCTCTGAAACCACAGCCTGAGCTGTACTTGGCCCCTTTCAGCCACAGCTGGAGTGGCTGGGACACAGCCACTGCACACAGCATGGAACCCTGGAGCCTAGGCTGTACACAGCATGGGACCCTGGAGCCAGCCCACAAAACCACTTTTTCCTCATGGGCCTCCAGGCCTGTGATGAGAGGGGCTGCCATGAGGGTCTCTGACACGGCCTGGAGACATTTTTCCCATGGTCTTAAGGATTAACATTAGGCTCCTCCCTACTTATGCAAATTTCTGGAACTTGCTTGAATTTCTCCCTAGAAAATGGGTTTTTCTTTTCTATTGCATAGTCAGGCTGCAAATTTTCCAAACTTTTATGCTTTGCTTCCCTTATAAAACTGAAAGCCTTTATCAGTACCCAATTCACCTCTAGAATGCTTTGCTGCTTAGAAATTTCTTCTGCAAGATACCCTAAATCATCTCTCTCAAGTTCAGAGTTCTACAAATCTCTAGGGCAAGGACAAAATGCCACCAGTCTTTTTGCCAAAATATAACAAGTGTCACCTTTGCTCCAGTTCCCAAGTTCCTCATCTCCATCTGAGACCACCTCAGCCTGGACTTTATTGTCCATATGGCTATAAGCATTTTGGGCAAAGCCATTCAACAAATCTCTAGAAAGTTCCAAAGTTCCCCACATTTTCCTGTCTACTTCTGAGCCCTCCAAACTGTTCCAAACTCTGCCTGTTACCCAGTTCCAAAGTCGTTTACACATTTTTGAGTATCTTTTCAGCAACGCCCCACTCTACTGGTACCAATTTACTGTATTAGTTCATTTTCAGGCTGCCAATAAAGACATACCTGAAACGGGAAAGAAAAAGAGGTTTAATTGGACTTAGAGTTCCACATGGCTGGGGAGGCCTCAGAATCACAGCAGGAGGTGAAAGACACTTCTTACATGGTGGTGGCAAGAGAAAAATGAGAAGCAAAAGCAGAAACCCTGATAAACCCATCAGATCTCATGAGACTCATTCACTATCATAAAAATAGCATGGGGAAGATATGATTCTATTACCTCCCCTTGGGTCCGTCTCACAACATGTGGAAATTCTGGGAGATACAATTCAAGTTGAGATTTGGGTGGGGACACAGCCAAACCATATCACCAGGTTACTGTTATTACATCAAGTGGTCAGAGAAAGATCTTGTGACAGGTAGGATCAGCAGAAACCACACTGAAAGGAAAAGATGGGATCAAGAAAGGATGAGATTTTGGCAGTTGTTATTAAACTGTGCGCTACTCAAGTATGTACCACCTTTAGAGAACTACTGTGTTGGGATTCTTCATGAGGCTCACAAGAGTATAAACTGAGAGTATTAAATCACTCTATGCATTTGGGGCAGGGTTTAAGAGTCACACGAACTAGATGTTACCATCTTGATCAGAAGCTGTAATTATAACTCCCGTAACCTTTCCATACTTTTAGACATTTCTAAGGCCTTGCTGTAAGTCATAAACATCATAAATATTTTATCATAAAATAGTCTAAAAATATATTATATACAATAAGGTAAAATCATTCATCAGTTTAAAATACCAAAGGCTTTTTAAATGTTTAAATGTTTCTGAAATACTAATTATCAGATTTTTAAGAACAAGAGCTTGGTGGGGTGCGTTGGCTTACGCCTGTAATCCCAGCATTTTGGGAGGCCAAGTTGGGCGGATCACCTGAGGTCGGGAGTTTGAGCCCAGCCTGACCAACATGGAGAAACCCCCTCTGTACTAAAAATACAAAATTAGCCGGGCATGGTGGCACATGCCTGTAATCCCAACTACTCAGGAGGCTGAGACAGGAGAATCGCTTGAAACCGGGAGGTGGAGGTTGTGGTGAGCCAAGATTGGACCACTGCACTTCAGCCTGGGCAACAAGAGCAAAATTCTGTCTCAAAAACAAAAAAGAACAAGTGCTCAGTGATACGTTCCAGATAACTGAGCTTTTATTATACATTTGAACATGAACAAAACACAAAAAGATTCGCCCTCAAATTTAAACATTCTAAACATATGTTCCCCCAACAAAAAGTGGGGTGCTATTTTAAAAGTCAGAGACTCAGGGTTTGGAAAATAAATAGTTTTGGAATTTATGAAATTATCAGAATTTCCACCTGGATTTCCATATATAACCTTATTTCTGCCTGTACGCCCACATTCAAACTCTATCTATCTCCACCCCACAGGCAGCTCTAGTCTGTGGTAACAGGTCAGTCATCCCTTTGGATCTTAGCAATGTAATCCTTGTTTGATCCACCTTCATCAGTGCTTTTGCCAAACATCAAAAGCCTATAAGAAACAGGCACGGCTGACCCATTCTCATCTATTTTAAGCCACAGGATCCCATGAAGACAGAAGAGTTTGCCTCCTTGGACCCTATCTCTGTAGTCTTACTTTGACAGTAATGTTCTCACAACCTTTGTCTCAAGGCCAGCCTCCATAGCCTCTTATCATGGCTCAATTGATCCAGGGTTTAGTTTTTCCTGACTCTATATTTAGGTCAAGCAATTGTAAAAACCCATGAGGTGGCATCTCGTTAACCTAGGATTCTGAGGTCTTTATATCATGGACTGTGTGACAGCCTATCTAGATAAGAAGAAAAAACACCATAATATTAATAGAACTAGCTATTACTGCTTCATAGGAACAAAGCTGCCCAATGATGGGGCCTGAATTTTATATATAATATGAAGTAACTCAGTGATATCTACCTTTCTTTCTTTGAAGATGGTCCCACAGACATGACCCTCTCAAGACTCCTGATTAAAATCCTAAATGTGCAAATATGCTCACATATTTTCAACACTGACCCCATTTTTTTTCCCCAACAGAGCATGTCTTTGAGTTCAGGTCTGTTCTTGCCTTTGCAGATTAGAAATGGGCTTTTGTTTTTTGGGGGCTTTTTTTTGAGACGGAGTTTCACTCTTGTTGCCCAGGCTGGAATGCAACGGCACAATCTTGGCTCACCGCAACCTCCTCCTCCCAGGTTCAGATTCTCCTGCCTCAGCTTTCCAAGTAGCTGGGATTACAGGCATGCGCCACCACACCTGGCTAATTTTGTATTTTTAGTAGAGACAGGGTTTCTCCATGTTGATCAGGCTGGTCTCAATCTCCCCACCTCAGGTGATCCACCCACCTCGGCCTCCCAAAGTGCTGGGATTACAGGCATGAGCCAATGCACCTGGTCTTCTTTGGCTTTTGGTTTTTTAAATTTTTTTGGCCAAAGAGTAGAAAGAAACCAGAAAGGAAAAACCAACAATATGATTTTTCTATATTTTTAAAAGAATTTTTTCCTGTGAGTTTACATGTGAAAAGGCAATGAATATCAATTCTTCATAAAAGTGACTGAATTACCCTGGGGCAGAAGTTGCAGTGAGCTAAGATTACACCACTGCACTCCAGCCTGGGCAACAAAGCAAGAATCCATCTCAAAAAAAGAAATAAGAATAACAAGTGGCTGAATTAAGAGATGAAAACAAAATGTGATAAAATAGGAAAACTTGTTCTTTAATAAGCATGAGATATTCAAGTCCAAATACAATGATAATGATAACAACAGATTCAACACCACAGTTGTATACACTTCCAGTGAAGCTTTATGAATTCCATTCTGAACTCCTAGCACCAGGTAAACACGAATCATAGGTGGAAATATGCCATGTTTAGCACTAGAAGCAGCATCACAGTTTACTAGCAAAATAAAGCAGAATGTGGTCAAGTAAATAAATATTACAACATATAATATACTGGTGATGAAGCTGCAATAAAGTAATATAAGTGAGGTTTACAATTTTTTTCTTTTTTTTACCGGGAAAGGCTAGTTGTAAACATAAACATACACATTAAACTACTAGCCCCCCAAAACTTAACCTACATCACAAACAATAATCACCTTTTAACTACAAAATCATAAAAACTTGTACTCTATGGCTCTTTTGTCTCGGTGGTTTTTCAGAGAAAGAAATGAGCTGTGTTAAGTAGTTTCGCTAATTTATCCATCTTGAAGAGATGCCAGTTCTGGAACCTCATTCATCCTCAGAACATCTTCATAGAGCAAATAATTATGTAGGCTTCTGGGAAGTGGTAACTGACTAATAAAACTGTCAGACCGGAGATGTTTTGATTTTAGACTGGACCGAATTTCCAAACGACAAAGATGGGTCAGGGATGGAATAGTGGCTGGAGAAACAAAAAAAGCAAGGTGAAAATTTTTAAAACAGAAAGATGTAACAGCACATTAAGGTAAATTCACTTTTTTTCTTTTCCCAACTCTGTAACAAAAGTGATATGCTGCTTAGAATTACTTTGAAAGAAGACTACTTTGAGTCAGGATGACCACAATAAACCTTATTTATTCTTTTCTACAGCCTTTAACTGGCTTCTTTCCCTTCAGTTGTTGGCCACACATTCAAAGTCAGAATCCAGGGTCACAAACATTAAATGTTAAAAATTCTAAATATCTGACAATACCTGCACTTAAGAAATGAATGAACTAACTTTAGAAATGGTAGAAGCTCATAGTAGCAAATACTACCTTCCTCTTAGTCTATTTCATTACAAATGCTTTCCAGACCTACCACATCAAGTGAATAAATGTGCAGTTTGCAAATTTTCCTTTTAATCTATAACACAGAATTTCTGAATTGGATCTGAGAGAAAGGGAGTATTTATTGAGTACCTTCTACGCCATAAGCCCATGTACTTCACTCAAATTCTCTTTTTATCTTCATTAACTTCATGAGCTACATATTATCAGGCTATGATAGAGATGAAAAAACAACTTTTTTTTTTAATTGTACTTTAGGTTCTAGGGTACATGTGCAGATCATACAGGATTGTTGCACAGGTACACACATGGCTATGTGGTTTGCTGCCTCCATCCCCCCGTCACCTACATCTGGCATTTCTCCCCGTTATCCCTCCCTGACCTCCCCAACTCCCCGCTATCCCTCCTTGGCCCCCCAACAGACCCCAGTGTGTGATGCTCCCCTCCCTGTCACCTATGAGTGAGAACCACTCGCCTATGAGTGAGAACATGTGGTATTTGATTTTTTTTTTTTAATTTCTGTTCTATAGTTCTTCCTCACTGTCCTTCCTCTAGCCATGCACTATTCATCTTTCACTATTCTTACTTGTTAGTCTTGTGTCGGTGAGACCACCTGCTCTTTGAGAGCAGGCATGGAACTACTGTGCATTCTCTTCATGCTGGTGCTGTTCCTTGCTATTGCCTGAGTTAGCAACTGTGTCCCCACCCCCTTTTTTTTCTCGCTCCTGTCACCCAGGCTGGAGTGCAGTGGCATGATCATAGCTCACTGCACCCTCAACTTCCTGGGCTAAAGTGATCCCACCTCAGCCACTCAAGTGGCTAAAACTACAGGTACATGGCACACACCCAGCTAATTTAAAAAAAAATTTTTTTTTTTTTAGAAGAAGAAAGAGAGAAAGAAAGAGAAAAAATAAAAGGAAAAAAAAAAAAAGAATGAAGAGGAAGAGGGAGAGAGAACATGGGTGTTGCTTTATTGTCTGGGCTAAAATGCAGTCTAAAAATGTGTATGCCTGTAATTGTGTTTAATAATAGAGACATGAAAAAAAAAAAATGAGGGAAGAAATTAACTAACAAGCAGCCAACCAATATTTCATTTAAACCTGTAAATAGGTGTGATGTGGTACTGATAAGACTGTATATTTTGTGTATTTAAAGTGGAGAGTTCTATAAATGTTAATTAAGTCTACTTGTTCCGGATCTGAGTTCAAGTCCTGGATATCGATGTTAACTTTCTGTCTCATTGATCTGTCTAATATTGATGTTGAAGTCTCCCACTATTATTGTGTGGGAGTCTAAGTCTCTTTATAAGTCTTATATATCTGGGTATTGCTGTATTGGGTGCGTATATATTTAGGATCTTTAGCTCTTCTTGTTACATTGATCCTTTTATCATTATGTAATATCCTTCTTTGCTTCTTTAGATCTTTGTTGCTTTAAAGTCCATTTTATCAGCAAAAATTGCAACTCCTGCTTTCTATTTATTTATTTATTTTTGCTCTCCATTTGGTTGGTAAATTTTTCTCCATCCCTTTGAGTCTTTGTGTATCCTTGCATGTGAGATGGGTCTGGATGTAGCATACCAATGGGTCTTGGCTTTTTTTGCCTGTGTCTTTGGGTTGGGGGATTTAGTTGATTTAAATTTAGAATTAATAATAATATATGTGAGTTTGATATTACCATTTAATGTTAGCTGGCTGTTTTGCCCATTAGTTGATGTAAGTTCTTAATTATGTTGATGTTCTTTATTTTTTTTTTGGTATTTTTTAGGAAGGCTGATACTGGTTGTTCCTTTCTATTTGTAGTGGTTCTTTCAGAAGCTCTTGTAAAGCAGGCCTGGTGGTGATGAAATCCCTGAGTGCTTGCTTGTTCACAAAAGATTTTATTTTTCCTTTGCTTATGAAGCTTAGTTTGGCTGGATATGAAATTCTGGGTTGAAAGTTCTTTTCTTTAAGGATGTTGAATATTGGCCCCCACTCTCTTCTAGCTTGTAGTTTCTGCTCAGAGATCTGCTGTGAGTCTGACAGGCTTCTCTTTATGGGTAACCTGACCTTTCTCTCTGGCTGCCCTCAGTATTTTCTCCTTCATTTCAACCCTGGTGAATCTGGTGATTATGTGCCTTGAGGTTGGTCTTCTTGAGGAATATCTTTGTGGTGTTCTCTGAATTACCTGGAGTTGAATATTGTCCTGCCTTGCTAGGTTGGGAAAGTTTTCCTGAATAACATCCTGAAGCGTATTTTCCAGCTTGGATTGATTCTCTTCGTCACATTCAGGTACACCTATCAAACGTAGATTAGGTCTTTTCACATAGTCCCATATTTCTTGGAGACTTTGCTCATTCCTTTTTATCCTTTTTTCTCTAATCTTGTCTCCCCGTTTTATTTCATTAAATTGGTCTTCGACCAACTTAATGAGAGAGAGATCCAAGATGGCTGATCACTAGCAGCTCGGGATTGTAGCTCCCACTGAAAGCACAGGGAATGAGAGGACGCCACACTTTCAAATCAATTTTTGTTGCTCACGCACCAGGAGATTCCCAGCGGAGGAGCCTCACAGGTCGCCAGCGCAACTCTTATGGCCGGCGAGGTGGTTTTGTCGCTGCCTTGGTGCGGCGGTTCTTGGTCCAGAGTCAGAAAAGCACCATCAATCTTAACGCCGCTGTTTTGGCCGGTGCAGTGGGTTGCTCAGATTTTAGCGCAGGGAATCAACAAGTTGGACATTCATTCAGAAACCCAACTTTAAAAGACGGTAATTATAAAGACCCCAGATGGATAAATCTATGACGAAGGGAAGAAACCAGCCTAAAAAGGCTGAGAATACCCAAAATCAGAATGCCTCTCCCTTTACAGGGGATCATAGTTCCTCATCAGCAACGGAACAAGGCCTGACGGAGAAAGACTGTGTTCCACTAACAGAAGCAGGCTTTAAAAAGTGGAAGATAAGAAACTTCTGGGAATTAAAAGAACTTGTTCTAACCGAATGCAAAGAAACTAAGAACTTTGAAAAAAGGTTTGATGAAATATTAACAATAATACACAATTTAGAGAGGAATATAAGTGAATTAATGGAGCTGAAAAACACGAGAACTTCGCGAAGTATGCACAAGTTTTAACAGCCGAATTGATCAAGCAGAAGAAAAGATATCAGAGGTCGAAGATTTTCTGTTCTTGTGTCAGTTTGCTGAGCATTATGTTTTCCAGATTCATCCATGTCCCTACAAAGGACACAAACTCATCATTTTTTATGGCTGCATAGTATTCCATGGTGTATATGTGCCACATTTAACCTGTCCAGTTTATCATTGATGGGCATTTGGGTTGCTTCCAGGTCTTCGCTATTGTAATAGTGCCACTCTGAATATATGTGTGCATGTGTCTTTATAACATATGTGTGCATGTGTCTTTATAACAGAATGATTTATAATCCTTTGAATATATACCCAGTAATGGGATTGCTGGGTCAAATGGAATTTCTATTTCTAGGTCCTTGAGGAAGCACCATACTGTCTTCCACAATGGTTGAATTAATTTACACTCCCACCAATAGTGTAAAAGTGTTCCTATTTCTCCACATCCTCTCCACCATCTGTTGTCTCCAGATTTCTTAATGATCGCCATTCTAACTGACGTGAGGTGGTATCTCAATGTGGTTTTGATTTGCATTTCTCTAATAATCGGTGATGATGAGCATTTTTTCATGTCTGTTGGCCTCATACGTGTCTTCTTTTGAAAAGTGTCTGTTCATATCCTTCACCCACTTTTGGATGGGTTTTTTTTTTCTTATAAATCTGTTTCAGTTCTTTGTAGATTCTGGATATTAGCCCTTTATCAGATGGGTAGATTGCAAAAATTTTTTCCCATTCTGTTGGTTGCTCTTTCATTCTAGTGATTGTTTCTTTTGCTGTACAGAAACTCTGGAGTTTAATTAGGTCCCATTTGTCTATTTTGGCTTTTGCTGCCAATGCTTTTGGTGTTTTGGTCATGAAGTCCTTGCCTATGCCTATGTCCTGAATGGTTTTGCCTAGGTTTTCTTCTAGGGTTTTTATGGTGTTAGGTCTTATGTTTAAGTCTTTAATCCATCTGGAGTTAATTTTAGTGTAATGTGTCAGGAAGGGGTCCAGTTTCTGCTTTCTGCACATGGTTAGCCAGTTTTCTCAACAACATTTGTTAAACAGGGGATCCTTTCCCCATTGCTTTTGTCAGGTCTGTCAAAGATCAGACGGTTGTAGACGTGTGGTGTTGCCTCCGAGGCCTCTGTTCTGTTGCATTGGTCTATATCTCTGTTTTGGTATCAGTACCATGCTGTTTTGATTTCTGTAGCCTTGTAAGTCAGGTAGCATGATGCCTCTGGCTTTGTTTGTTTTACTTAGGATTGTCTTGGCTATGCAGGCTGTCCTTTGTTTCCATATGAGGTTTAAGGTGGTTTTTTCCAGTTCTGTGAAGAAGGTCACTGGTAACTTGTTGTGGATAGGGTTGAATCTATAAATTACTTTGGTCAGCATGGCCATTTTCACGATATTGATTCTTCCTAACCATGAGCATGGAATGTTTCCCCATTTGTTTTATGTCCTCTCTTATTTCCTTGAGCAGTGGTTTGTAGTTCTCTTTAAAGAGGTCCTTTACAACCTTTGTTAGTT